CTGTCAAATAAATAAATAAAAAATCTTTAAAAAAATAAAAAATAAAAAATAAATCTAGGAAAGGAGAAGACTGACAACCTTCCCCATTTCTAGTTTCTGGCAGCCTCTAGTTTCTAAGAGGCTGTGATTGGATTGACAGCAATTTGTTTTCAGAACAAAATTCCACCTAATTTTCCTTTGAAGAAAATGAAGTCAGTGGCTTGCTTCTGGAAAACCGTACTGTATGCCTCTTTCTCATGGTTCATACTAGGAGGGCAGCCTTTTGGGGAGCATCTCATGGGAGCACCTGCCGCACAGCCCACTGCAGGGAGCACGGGCGGGTCTGTGGGTGACTCCATGTAGGCATGCTACTGTCTCAAAAAGAAAGGGGACAAATTTTGAACTTACCACGGCTTCTGACGTGGATGGGAGTCTCTGCAGCCCTGTTCTGGGAAGAGTCTCCCTGGGACTCAGCAGGTGTAGCTTTAGCTTGCCAAAGAGGATCTTCAACAAAAGCAGTGACACGTGATGAGCGGGTCTCAGATTTGAGAGAAACTGAACATCACTACCACAGCCACAGAAGGCCTACCCAATTAGATGCTATAAACACTCAAATTCTGAATTCATACTTTTCTTGGATTTACAGGCTTTGAAGAATGAATCTCAATGTGAGAAAACATGGACAACTTACATTCTTTCTAGATCATCAACATAAAATAATATTTATAAATCCAGAATAAATCTCTCTTTAACCTCTAAGTAAGTATATTTTATAAAAAAGCAAAAACAAAATTCAGTCTTACCTCTCGGAGCTGATTACTACTTGTTATAAGAAAGTGCTCTCCTGCAACACAATGGGCTTCTTGCTCCAGTTCCCGGAGACGAGACTGTGAAGGTGACACAGAATCTCACTAATGGTTTTCACAATGTAAGATGATTTAATTTGCTCATCAAACAGTTCCCAACAAAAGTTCTTATAAGAATAGAAAATAGCCTACAATTTACCAAAATGGACATTAAAAATATATACTTTGATTCATAGTGTAAAACTCTGGCTCATAGAATCATCCTCCCCCAAACCTCAGGAAGCAATATGAAAGAAGCAAAATAGGAAATAACACACCAAAATAAGGGAAAGAATGAATTCTCCAGGAATATTACTACTAGAAAAGGGATCTAGCATCATACCACAAACTTGAAAGCATCCAAGTAGGTAAAGGAGGTAGGACCAATGACCTCGTAGTGCCCTCCCACCCAGCAGAGAGAGCAGCCGCAGGGGACACCAGGGACACGCTCTGGACACAGCCTGGCTTGAGGGGTGGGAGGTACGGGTGGTCCAGGTGAAAAAAAATCTAACCATGCCCCATGCAACAGCTGACAGTGAGGAGCGGAGCACAGCTGAATTTATAAGCCCCTCGCCCCCTTGCCACTTCCGTCAGAAGAAAAGTGGAAGGCAGCCAGGACTTAAAAACATAATTATAGAAGAAAACAGAAAGTTGAGGCTAAACCAACCCACCCTGGTGAAATATCATCTGCATTCTATTCTTCATCAGATGAGGACGGCCTTGAGTCTGAAATTTTGAAAGAAGTTACAAAGAGGGTCCAGAGAAGTTAGGAGCGGACAAGTCTGATACAAGAAAAGAGTATGTAGGCGAAACGAAGAAGCCAGAAACACTTGCCTCAGTTAAAGTATGCCAAAACTCGGTAGTCAAAGAAACAAATGAGAAAAAGAAAACCAAGGAACAGAGAGCATTAAAGGACAGATAATGGATCCCTTCAGGAGTAAGCCATACCTTAGGGAACAAAAACTCAAGCAACAAACTGAGCTTCCAGTTAAAATGGCACATAAACTTGCACGTTAATGCACTCCTCGTGTTCAGGCACAAGAAGAAATGGATAAATATAAACAGAGAAAAACAAAAAGACAGTTCTTTAAAGAACAAAACAAAAGCATCTCTTCAGAGCAGGAATAGATACAAAGTACAAAGCAGCAGGCAGAAGGACGGGAAAACCCAGCTGGGTCTGGGGCCTGCCGCCAGGCCGGAGTAAGCCGGGCCAGCTTGGCCCAGTACCTGCTGCCTCATGACAAACCAGTCCAAAGCACACTGCCATGGATCAGCACCTTGGGTGGGGCTCAGCTAGGTGCAGGTGCTGGCTGCATGGCCGGGTGGGTAGATTAATTTCAAATTGTCGCCCATTTAAAAATTACCTTAACTGGCTTTTTCTTATTGATAGGAGTTCTCTATTACAGTCTGCATATGAGTCCTTTGTCAGACGCATGAAAATACAATCAAAATCCCAGCAGGGTTTTTAAAAAAGTAGATCAAAGAACTTTATATGGCAATGCAAAGAACCTAAGACTGGATAATACTATATAGAAGAAACACAAAGATGGAAGACATACCATAGGGTATTAAGACTTATGATTACAAAGCTACCATAACTAAGGCAGGGGAGTATTAGCACAGGATAGATTAAAAAAAAAAAAAACGGGCGCCTGGGTGGCTCAGATGGTTGGGCGTCTGCTTTCGGCTCAGGTCATGATCCCAGGGTCCTGGGATCGAGTCCCACATCGGGCTCCCGGCTCAGCGGGGAGCCTGCTTCTCCCTCTGACCCTCGCCCCTCTCATGCTGTTTCTCTCTCGCTCGCTCTCTAAAAAATAAATAAAATCTTTAAAAAAAAAAAAAAAAAACAAACCACAACACAACACATGAAACAGAACAGAGTCCAGAAAAAGATTCACATTACACAATGTTAAAAATAAAACACACATGGAGACCAGCCTTGAAAATTCCCTAAGCAGGTGAAACCAGTGTAGTCCTACAAGCAATGCTTCATTTAGTCTATTCTGCAAGATCAGGGAGGCTAACTTGATCTGGGTCGCTTCTTGCTTGTGCCTCTGAAAATCATAAGTGAATCTCAAATTGTGCCCCCCCAAATCCTAATGCAGTAGTCCACCACTGTGAAGAATAACCAGTTCCTGCCTCCACAGCATATAAGCTGCTTTATGACAACAGACCTCTGAGCCTCACTCCATGGCTTGGTTTGAGTGCTCCTGGTTTGTAAGCTGTCTTTTTGGTGTGTGCACAATAAAGTTTTGCTACTTACTACTTCAGTGCTCCACTGGTTTTGCTTCTGTTTTTCTCTGAACTTTTGACAGCAGTGATCTGACTTATGACACAGATGTTACTGTAATTCAGTAGGGAAACAATGGCACTTTATTTATTTATTTTATTTATTTATTTTTTAAAGATTTTATTTATTTATTTGACAGAGAGACACAGTGAGAGAGGGAACACAAGCAGGGGAGTGGGAGAGAGAGAAGCAGGCCTCCCGCGGAGCAGGGAGCCCGATGTGGGGCTCGATCCCAGGACCCTGGGATCATGACCTGAGCCGAAGGCAGACGCTTAACGACTGAGCCACCCAGGTGCCCCAACAATGGCACTTTTAATAAATGATGCTGAAATAAACAGAAATCAACCTGGGGGAAAAAATCTTAACCATACCTAATACCATATAGAAAAATTAATGTGAAATGGATGGTAGGCTTAAAATAATACAGCTTATAGAAGAAAACAGAAGAATATCTTTACTAGAAGGCAGACAAAAGATATCAGCACATAAAAATTCTTAAACATTTAAAAAATGGTTCACTGGACTTCATTAAAATAAAGAGATTCTGTTCACCAAAAGATAGCACTATTAAGAGAGTGAAAAGACAAGCCACAGACACAGACTGAGCGGGAATGTATTTTAGGTTCCACGGGCCACATACGGCTCCTGTCACATATTCTTCTTTATCTTGGCTTATGTGTTTATCTTTTAAAAATTGTAACAACCACGCTTAACTTGTAGGCCATATGAAAATAGGCCACAGAGTGGATTTGGCTCACAGACTCCCTGGAGTGGGAGAAAGAATTTTCAATATATATTAAAAAAGACTTGCATACAGAATTTAGTACAAAGACTCACATACAGAATATATAAAGAACTCCTACAAATCAATATGAAAAAGTCAGTTAACATAAATTTCAAAATGGGTGAAGTCTGCAAAACTGATCACAAAAGAGTACATCCAAAATACCATCAAGCATATGGAAAGGTCCTCAATATGATTAATCATCAGGGAAATGCAAACTAAATCCACAATGTAAATCCATATAATCCATTGTAAATATACAATGACAGACCCACCAGAATGGCTAACGTGAGAAAGACTGGCAGTATGCGCTGGTGAAGATGTAGCAAATGGGACTGGAAAAGGTCATGACCAATCCCAAGAGGTCTTTGGAAGTACCTACTACCACCTATGCACACACCGTGATCCAGCAATTCCATTTCCAGATATAAAACCAAGAGACAGAAGCACTCACATCCACCACAGTTTATGCACACGAATATTCACAGCCACTGTGATCACTGTGCCTACCAATGGGAAGGATGTAAAGAAGCTAAGACACATTCTTAAATGGGTGTTACACAGCAAGTTTTATTGGAACCCACATCTGCTAAAACTCACCAAACAAGTGAATTCCACAGATAGAATGTGAGCAAAAAAAAGCCAGAACCAAAGAGCCCACACTGCATGGTTCCATTTACATGAAGCTCAAAATCACTGAACAGAATCAGATTAATGGCTCTGTCTGGGGTTACAGACTAGGAGAGGACAGGAAGGAGGAGCCTTCTGGTACTGGAAATATTCTATATCTTGCTCTGGGTGGAGTCACATGCATGTGTACAAATGTAAAAACATGTCAAGCTGTACACTTACAATTTACACCAAGGAGATCTGGAAAGATGGCAGAGTAGGAAGCACCTGTAAGTAAGAAACTGCCTCCCCACCTGGACCACATTTGCAGGGGCAGAAACCATCTGATGCAATAGCCGTTTTGAACTCAGGAGTCTGTTGAAGGCTTTCCACTTCCAAGCTTGGAAGGTAAACTGCGGCTACTTTTGGTCGATTTCAGCTCTTAGCACAGTAGCAGCGGCCCATCCCCATCTTGCACCCCAGCCACACAGCAGGCAATCGTCCACCTGTTTCTGGAACACTGTGCAAAAGCCAGGGTGGGCAAAAAGACCCTGTCCTCCAAATGGTAGGGATCTGGGCTCTGACTACTGCTTCTAATAACACAGGTACAGACAAATAGGCAGGCAGTCATCGTTGTCGCCCCTCTCTCCAGTGTTGTAAGACCCTCTCCCTCCAGCTGAACAGACTCCCAGGGGAATTAAAGGGCCAGCACCCTTTTACATCCCCCTTCATTTTTCACTTTTCCTCCTTTTGGGAGCCAGAAATTAAAGGACAAGGATGGTTGACAACTACTGCTTATGCAGGGAAAATTAGAAATAGACTGTGTATGCTCAGGAAAAATCTTAGAAAAAAACATGAGAAGACCTTAAGTTTGCCCCTCAGGCTGATCTTTAGCACAGAGACACCCTATAGCAATAAAAAAACCAAAACCAAAACCACTAACACAAAACAGCAAACCCTGTGGTAGGGGAAGAATATGATTTTCAGAGCTACCACATTATCAGATTCAAATGTCCAGTGTTCAATAAAAAATTTCAAGGCATACAAAGAAAAGCATCCCATTCAAACAGGAAAAAAACAAAAAACAAAACAAAACATCAACAGAAACTGTCCCTGAAAAAGACCTAATGGCAGATCTACTAGACAAAGACATTAAAACCACTGTCTTAAAGATGCTTGAAGAACTGAAGGAGGATGTGAAGAAAGTCAACAAAACAATGTGTGAGCAAAATGCAAATAATGATAAAGAGAGAGAAAACCTAAAAGGAAGTAAAAAAGAAATTCTGGAGCTGAAAAGTACACTAACTGAAATAGAAAATGCCTTTGGGTGGTTCAGCAGCAGATTTGAGCAGGCAGAAG